TTAATGAGATGTTTTCATTTCCTAATATCGTCTCCAAATTCCGTAATACTTTGCGACCTCTCTTGAGACTCCGGCATTTGGCTGCAGCAGTCTAGAAACTCCTAGAATTAAGTTGAGAATAATCTCGTTTCGAATTTCTAGATCGATCTATCCTATCCACTCCTCCAGTTTCTGCCCCATAGTTCATAGCTGGGAGAACTAACGGATTGAACATGTTGGATCGCATACTTTATACGCAATTCCGGAAACCCTGCGCCATCTGCGCAAACGATTTCTTTGAGCGCAATTCTTCCTTTGCTGTGAGCCGTCAGTATGTGATTATTCCATCCTCTTTAGCAAGAATAGGTTTTAAGAATAGCGTGTTGGAACATCAAAGGACTAGGCTCTCTTATTTTTTGTGCACAGATATGCATAATTGTTCTTGAATGGAAATTTATTTGTGACAAGAATGAAGTTTGATCACTCAAACAATATCTTGCAGATGGTAAAATGTTTTACCAAACATTGTTTTTGAGAGTTCTATATTTTATCAATAAAAAGTTGTTGGAAGAATTATTCCTGTAAACAAATGGCATGGCTAATAATTATTGGTATTAGTCATTACCTAAGATGCTCTGCCCACAATCAGCTATCCATTAGACAGTTCGTTTTCATTCAAAGCGAATATGTTTAGTAAGAGCAATGACTTACACTTGTGTTAGCGGAAGATATAAGATTATTGTTAGAGAAAATGCCATACAACAAGTTTATTCCACTAGAATGATAGTGTTGTCCTAAAACTTTACTCAGACGTCAAGAATCATGAAATTGAATTGAGCGTGAATTTTCCAATTCCCCAATTGTTTAATCTCACATTTGGAGATGAGCCTCGCTTACCCATCTGTCAACCCAGTAAATGTTTTAATATAAAATCAGTATCCTTATTAACTGTATATTTAAAGTTATAGTTTCATTATATTTGTATTTTCTAGTAAAAATGCATGTGAAAATAAAAAAAAGTTAAGAAAGGACCCTAGAAATATAGTTAGCCCATCTTTTTTAGGGTGCTTACGACTGTTGCAGTACCTAAAGACACTAGTCAGAAATTACGGTCCTCCTACATTAAAACTTTCTTCGCGAAATGGTAAAGCTGTATTTTGTATAAAATTTGATTTCATTGAATTTATTTTCTGAGAAGTTTCCATTCTTCGATGTTTTGTTCGCAGGCAATTTATCAAATATTAGTGTTCAAAATATTGTCCCAGTGGATTTAAATGCTTATGTATATAGAAATGCTGTGTTACTGAGCGACTTTCACAAGCAGTTAGGCAATAGAGAGAAAGCCGATCGTTATGCTACTATCGCAAATGAGTGGAAAGCAACTGTGACTGCTCTGTTATGGAATAATGAAGAAGGATCGTGGTTTGATTACGATATTCTGAACAATAAACAACGAACTTTCTTCTACGCTTCTAATCTTGCACCTCTTTGGACAAAATGCTACGACGAAGTAAGTATCAAATTATCTGCACCAATTCTCTAATTTTTATGAGAGCCGTTCTCACTCTGCGCTCATTTTGACCCTAACGTTACATTTACGTTACATTGCCCTATTACGTTACCCTAACGTTACAGTATGTATCGTAGGACATTACATTATAATATAAGATTGGAAATTTATAAAACGAGGTTGATAAGCAGAGTTTGATAAATAAGTATTTACAAGTATTAAGGAAATTGTTACATTACGAATATCGTAAAAGGTTTCATTCACTTCTCCAATGAATTATAACTTCATTTTGAATTTGACTATTCTTTCAGGGAAATGTGACAAACTGGTACTGATAATATATTTAATAGGAGACCATGGATTAGAACACTTGTATTCTAATAGCTCTTATTACTAAACTGAAGTCTCTTAAAGTCCGTCATTAGGTAATAAAGAGGAACAAAATTCATATCACTCGAAAGTAATTAATTAGCCTTTTCCAGCGTTATGGGAGGCAGAAAACTGGCTTTCAAACCCAATTTCGCTGGTTCATATCCGTCTGAAAGTCATGGATTTGTATTTGACACTTGACACCTGAACGAGAACCATGGGCACCTCTGGCACGTAGAATATAAGGAGGCGTCTTCAAAGTGTGTATCTCAGTGACATTTTAGTCCAAGCCATGAGATTTTTTTAACGATATATTGAAGGTATTTATTTATTTACGTCAAAAACAGTTAAAAACTGTGTGTGACGTGCTATGGAGAGAGGTTAATTTGTCGTTACAATAGTATTTTTCTTTTGGCTGCTCGGTATAGTCTCTAATTGTATAGAAACAGTTGTGCAGCAGAACAGATTTTACTTGTGACATAAACTTTTGTATCGAACTTAATCATTTAATGTCATCGGGCAAGGGGTTGTAAAATAATGTACATGTATTATATGTGAATTTTTTGTAGTGATCTGTTGATACTGTCCTTGAGGAATATGATTACTACGTCGAGTGTTGTAGTTATAGACATCAGCGTTTGCTGAAAATATATTCCCGCCCTTAAGTATGATGGTATGACAATGTCCCTCTCTCAGTCCAGCACGTGACCTTGAAGGGCTACTGTTTAAATGGAGATTATGCTTACATATTGTACCTTCCTCAAGGTTTAGTCAATCTTCTAATCTCTTGAAGACTGCTATTTGGGTATTTAAACAAGTATTTCACTTTCAATATCACGACGTAATCGTCATATTCCATCCATCTACGTCGAACTCGAGCTAGGTTCTCTCAAAACTAATTTGCCTCTATAGTAACTGATTACATTACTAAATTTTTAGTTCTCTTACGAGTTGATACACTCTTTTGAAGTGATGTATTTTCATTTCGTAACAAAGGCGCTTTGGCGTGATGGATGGGGAAAGCGGTAGGATCCACAGAGGTTGCGCGCGGAAGAAACGGACTCGCTCGAGGACGAGAAGGAAGACTGAAGGCGCCGAAAAGTGGGAAGATATAAAACATGAAACATATACACATTAACTCTACCTCTGTCTGATGCAGCAAAAGTCTCCAGAGATTGCTGAAAAAGTGGTTCGGTACCTGGAGCGTCGAGTTTTAAGCCATTCCATGGCCGGCATTCCGCAGTCTCTACAATATTCCGGCGAACAATGGGACTTCCCCAACGCCTTCGCGCCTTCTCAGCACATCATCATCGAGGGCCTGGACTTGACCGGGCACCCCAGGGCTCAGAAGCTGGCCTTCGACCTCGCCAGCACTTGGGTGGCGTCGAACTTCTTGACGTATCAAGAGGAACGGCACATGTACGAAAAGGTAAAATTGATTTTTCGCTGGCTTTTTCTTTCCAGGATGTTGACTTCTTTTTCTCTTTCTCGTCGTGCTTATCAAAAATATAATTCGTATAATCCAAAACTTGAATTAACCAGGAACTAAACTTAATAATAGTTATTTATCTTACAATTGGCTAAAAGAGACTATTTTGTGAAAGTCGGTTGACTATCACTAGCACCATAGCTTGAGTGTATACTAATTTTAAACGAGCACATCTTATCCGATCTCCTTTTCATCATGTTAAAATATTTTCTAGCTGTATATCTAAGAGATTATTATGCATTACATGAATTTTGTCAGTATCTTTATAACATGGGAGATAATAACAAACCATTTAATGCACTCCAAATCCGTCAGTAAACAGCATGTAAAAGCGAACGATACGATAAAACTATTCAAACAAATTAATGTGCTACACTTTAAACTTAGTTAAGGGTATCTCTAAGCATTCATAAGTTACATGTTAGTGTTAAAATCACTTCACGTTTTGTGAAGTTTTTATTGCAAGATGGTTCACCTCGGAGTCGTATCTCACCCCATACCCGAGAGTCACGCGCCCCAAATTGCTTGTGAGTGAGTATTGAGTCCGGACGTGTTAACTTCTTCAGTCATTAGATCCTTAAGTGTAGTGCATGTTGTATCCCGTGAGGAGAGCGAGTTCCTTCACAGCTGGAAGGTGAGATCCGGCGCCGACCTAGCGGCTTGCGGAGCTTTGCCCTCCAGCGCGCACCGCCTCGGCCGGAGAACAAACTCCCAGCTCCCGGTATGTGCGGTATTTTAGCGCATGTAAGTGTGAGTGTGTGGGTGTGGGAGTGGGAGTGGGTGAAAGGGGGGGAGAAGGGGTCACGGATGACAGAGCCTTCAGAGCTGGTAATAATGTTTTTAACTACGGGATATACTGGTGCAAAAAACATAATTTTAAAGGAAGATGGTATCAGAAATAATTAACTTTTTCACATGTTTTCAGTTGTTTTCAGACGATAATTGGAGCTTGTTTACGTGATAATATGCAATGTTACCGCCTTCAGGATCATCTCTATTAACTACAAATGTCTGAATTGGAAGCGCGGCTCATTGAAAACAGAAAGAAACAAATACTTATGTAATAACTGTAAGCAGAGGAAAATTAACAATAACAATCTCTTTTCTGCAAATCTTATCACTGGAGTTCTACTACACCTGTTGCCAAAACGTCGCGAGAGCTACATTAAGAGTTGTATCTTAATACAGAATGAGTCATTTCAGATGAAAAGATCAGCACAGTTTTTTCAAGTAAATGAACAGATGTTTCTTCCGTCATTTTGCTCAGAAGTGCTTCGTTACTGCACAGCTGTCTCTTGACGATGTTCCTTCCACTTGTAACGTGTGGGATGTTGAGCTCAAATGTAATCGAAACGCAGAGGATCTTTCTAAGTGTTGCTGAAGAAATAATCAATTTTTGTCGGATACAAATGAGGAAAAACGCAAATCTATGGATTGGTGGAAGTGAGGTGCATAGTTTTGCGACAGTCCTTTTGTGCGTGCGGTCCTATGATATACACGCCGTCCGCCAGCAATGCACTCACGATTCGCAAATGACCTCCCGTGACCACAACAGCGCTTCTGGGTTTGGAAATGCGCGCAACCTTCCGTGACATGCAGGCTGCGATAAAATTGGAAAATTACATCAAGAAAAACTTCAATAAAAATATATTAATCAACAGAAATCGATAAAATAATGATTTATTGCTAATCTTGTCAGATGTATGTTAGTTGGTTGATTAGAGATTCAAGGTGCGTCAACAGCTAAGGTCGTTAATGCCGTAAGTGTAGTGCATGCTTTACCGCAGGAGGTGGTGGTGATCAACTTCCGCTGCATGGTGAGATCCGGCACCGACCTACTGTCAGCTAGTCAGGTTCTCCCCAACCAGGTATCTCCCGCCAGCGGGGCACTGTCCCAGCCGGAACAAGCTCTAAGCTCCCGACCGGTCTCCCGGCATGTGTGGTAGTGTAGGGCTTGTAAGTGGCTGTGTGTGTTTTTAAGTAAGATGTGGGATAGGCCAAGGATTGGGATGGAAAAATCGCGCGTGGTTCGTGCCCCTTTTGTTATGGTACTGCTCCGACATTCGGCTTGTATTGATAGCAGAAACCATGGAAAAATACCGATTAGAGCAGCCGGCTACTAGGATTCTCCTCCAGAACTCGACCTAGCTATGTCGCTGGTGTGGAAAACCCTGCCACCGTCTGGAGTGGAACCTTTGGACGTCCCAGCACTGCAGTGACATCAATTGATGCTCTGAGCTACCTCTCCCCATAGATGTGTGTTATTCTGTGTTTTTTCACCTGAAATGACTCGTTTTGTATATAACATAGCCTGGAGCTGATTAAAAAGTTCCCAGACCACCCCAATAAGGGCGATTGGATGTCCATTTGAAAGCCTGATTGCATTCAGTCACCACCACTTACGAATGAAGCTTTAAAACAGGAGTACTGGACGTGCTTTAGCCCCTCAGCTCTTTACATAAATAGTGTGGTTGTATTTATTCATAGAATATTTTAGTTAGCCTCTTTTTTACCTACTTCATTATTTATTTGAAAACATGTACCATTTGATACTTAATGAACTTTAATTTTTGAGCTTCTAAGGTGAATACATGTACACTATGAAGATATGTCGTTGAAATTTGGGAATTATCAAATACACCATTAACAGCAATCAAAACTGCAATGGAAAGTTCCTTGTTCATTCTTCAGAAAAAGTAATGTAAACAAATTAAATGTTGTTAGAGATGTACGATGAAACTTAAAACTCTGTCTGCACTTTTCAACAGTATGATGCCAGGTGCTTTGCAAGACCAGGTTCTGGAGGCGAGTACACAGTTCAAGAGGGCTTCGGCTGGACGAATGGTGTTATCATCCAATTGTTACAAACGTACGGAGACAATTTAACAGCTACAGTTTCTAGGTACGTTCACATTTTCTTCTCGATAATATATGTTACGGATAAAGACCGAAATTTGGGACTTGTGAGGAGTTTCCGGTTAAATCGCACATTAGCCAGAAGTGATGGATATAGCTGTGTGAATGACGGCTGACGGGTCATTACCTTCTTCATCCGACGAATGTTGATATCAGCGGCATGGTGCTGATTGAGTGTGAGTGTAATATGAATATTAATTAGAAAATTAGTCAATTCGCAGAGAGCGTAGGATTCCGCGGGTAGAGCCAGTGCAGGGGCATTTCGCCCTGAAGAAGATCGCAGAATGGCGGCCGAAATGTTGTCATCTGTGCCTAAGACGCGGCGTCATTCGGAGGGCCAGATAATTATTTAGTGACCCAAATGAATCCTTTTTGGTCGCTCTATTACCTTTTTGGTGGATATGTCCTCACGGGCTGCCGGAAACCTTGAAAGTTGGGTTCCAGAGGGTAGCTTATTTTACCCTTAAAACAATTTAGAAAGTTCTGTGTTTTTGCAGAATGCACTATTAACGTATTTTGCAATAAAAACATTTATATTAAGTTTTTGATTTACAGTTTAATTTCCACAATAACAAGTGTGAGAACATTTGGTGAACACGCAAGGAAGATTTGAGGGAATCTTGGAACATTTGGGAAAATATTTAGAGGAACATTTGAGGGTACATTTGGGGACATCTAAGAGAGCATGTGAAAAAGGTTTGGGGTAATATTTGAGGGAACATTTGAAAGCCTGTGACGACCGTAGAAGGAAATATGTTGATCATGACAGGGGACAAGCTGAGGTACATGCCCGAATCACATGGTGAGCATGCGAGAGAATATATGAACGTGCATTTAATTGACTAGTGATTCCGGGCGTGGCAAATGCTCAGGGCATTATTCCGTAAGCGTAGTGCTTGTTTTTATCGTGGGAGGTATCAATGATGTTCCCTGTGAGCTGGACGGTGAGATCCGGCGCCGGTCAGCGGGTTTTTCCCAACCAGGTATCTCCCACCGCCAGGGCACCAGCTGGGTCAAGCTCTAAGTCGAGACAAGCTCCAGACCAGTCTCCCGACATGTGTGGTAGTGATGTGCATGTACATGTGTGTGTGAATAAGATATGAGGTTAGAAAGGGGAAGGGGAAGGGAAGATCGCACCCGGTCTGTGGCCAATTTATTACGATATTGTTCCGGAATTCGCTTGATATTGATCGGAGAAACCACGGAAAACTACCGATCAGAGCAGACGGCCACTAGAATTTTCCTCCAGACATAGAACATGAGAATCTGCAGTGACAATGAAAGGGAAAATGGGAGAGCACGTGAGGGTGTGGGAGAGCATGTTTACTTGGAGCAAAGAACTGAGCGAAAATTAATGTCTTCTGGTGACCTAAAGCAGGATGGTCAGAAACGAGCGAAACCTCTATGGGAAATTAACTTGATGTCCCACATGCTAGGAATGCAATTCTTCAATGCACAATTTAGATTCTGGTCTAAATTTGGAATCCAGTGGAAAACTATTTTCACTTTTAAAACAATTATTTACAAAATGCAGAATGTTCACAGGGGTCTAGCAAGTTGGAAAATAATTTCAAAGAATATTTTTGTAATATTTTGTTTGTTGTTCTTTGGAATTCATGTTAATGTTTGTTCTGTAATAGATCTGACATTAATATTATTTATTTATTTCCATAAACTTTAATTCATTAGTATTACTAAATGGCATATTTGAATAATATGTTTACTTAAATGATTTCCTAAAATGAATGTCATTAAAATGCACTTTTTTAGTTTGTATATTTTCTAATTGTGTTTTTTGTACTCTTACAGCTCCAAGCCTTGATCATCAATAACTTCAATTTTTTTAAAATTACTACCAATGTCATTCATAAAAGCTTTTATGAATTTTTTCATCTCTCTGGAAGTCTATATTACATTAAAACAATTTTTTTTTGTAATTTAAATTTTTGATGTAACATATTATCTAATGCAAATAATAAAAAAAGTATCAGAAACTGTAAAATTTATAATAATTTTTTACATTCTTTACTGAAGTTCTATTCTTTAAGCCACCTTAGCATGCCAATTTCTAAGAATACGACAAGCAATAATGGACAATTGAAGATTCACACTTGTGTTTTTATTTTATTTTTTCATCAATTTATATTACTACATAACTATCATGTGACACAATATGTAACTTAATGTTGAAAAAATATTTTTCTGCATTAAGAATATTATACAATTGAATGAATCACATTGATTGTAATAAGTAATATTACACTTATAATCAGAATATACAATTTGCTTATTAATCAGTAGTTCACAGTAGTGTATAACCTTTACTCTATTACATTACAATCTTACAACTTACATGCATTGTCTCTTTCACAATTGAATTGTTTATTTCAGAAACCCGTCAAACGCCAAAATCTAAAACACGCATTAGTGGTGCATCGTTTAGTGCATATTTATATGAAAAATATTCATTTAATAACTGCTTTAAAAAAATAAAAGTATTTTGAAATCAGATAAAGTGGAAGACTTATTCTCAGTTTTTGTGAAATGAGGAATTTGACATTTGACAATTTTCTGAAATAAAGAATTCAATTGATTCAGAGGAAATTTTACAAGTTTGTTATCTCATATCCTATTACCTTTGGTACTAATATAATGAAATATCAATCACTTCTGAACATTTAAACAAATTGCTTTTGAACATATCACTGACTGTTTCAAGGAATATTATATAGTATTTAAAACACAATTTTTAATCCTCAAATAGTCCTCAATTCAGAAAATTCATAATTACATTCTTGCAATTTTTCTCTTTGGTCATACAAATTGGAGTACATGCAATTATTTTGTAAACAAATTTTGTTTGTAATAGTTAATAACAAGTGCATTTAATGTACATAATGGTGAAAATATCACAGTAATAGAAAAATATGAAATACAAAATATTACAGTGTTAAAATTTCTGGGTACAATCATAAATACAAATAATCAGCTTGAACAATAAATAAAAAAAAGAAAAGCAGCTGGCAGTATGTGACTATTTATACAAGAGTGTTTTCACTTCCAAAGTATTGATCTTAAGATACAAAATGTGGTTTTATTCTACAATTGTAGAGGCAGAAGTGACATTCAGCTATGAAATGCAGGTCCTTAAAAAAACAATCAGAACAATATATATCAGTAAATGAGAAAAAAAATTTTAGAAAAAGGTTAAGCTCCATCAAAATAACATTTATATAACAAGTCCTTAAAGACATAAAAGATGTGTTACAAACAATATTTTTGTTATTTTGAGTTATTATAATTATTCAAAATAAACATCTAACACTTTCATGAGTTAAGAATTGTCATTATTCTCGAAACTCTCTTGCAAGGGTTGTTGGTGCAAGATCTGGCAATGGGACATGGAAGACAAAATGGAACAAAAAGGACAAGGGGCTGAGAGGGACAAGGGAGAAAAAAAGGCAGAAATTTAAGAATAGATTTCTTGTAATACTAACGAAGGTAAATATTTCACTTTGCATTGCAACCACTTCAAATGGCATTACATTCAATGGTAATTTCAAAAATTATTACTTTAATATACTACGTGTGCCAAAACATTGTAAAAATATTTTTTTTGCCTTTTTTTCGCAAAAAATCTATTTTGTGGAAAAAACATTTTTATCCAAAGATTTATAAACCCTGGTAATATCGAAACCCGAAAGTCGGTTAAAATCATTTTAATGGACTCTCGAGCATTTTAACGGCCGATGCTATGGACGCGCTCTTAAAACTTGTATAGATGGTTAGTTGCTAAGCGCGTGTTTGCCGATTAATTAACAAAGATGAACAAATTTCGAGAAGAGAAGCAAATGACAAATTAAAGTCTTCATAAATAATAAAACATCGCAAGAGACGTAAAATCCAAAAGGATCGCTGGAACAGGATCACTGGAAATGACCGACTCCAAGATACGAATCCTGACAACACAACGTTTTAGAAGGAATTTACTATAAATAGAAGCACAATTTACCCACTTTTTTCGTTACTAGAGCCCAGTAATAAGATTTTTTCTGTCGAAAAGTCACCGATTTGCGGCGCACGATTACAATACTTTTTTCTTCTTGCACTGTAATGCGAGCAAGTAAAAAGGAAATACGTAAATTAGATGAGAGAATTATGTGCTTCAGAACCTAAAAGTTATGGGATTTAAAACTTGGAATAAGTGATCACAAGACCAACAGAAGTGGAGGATAGAACTTTAGGGGGCCAAGTTCCGCAGTGGAGTGCAGCTCCAATTGAAGAAGCCACGTAAAATCTTTTGCGTTTTAAATTAATGCAAAGGGCTTCCAAGCTTTCTCTCGTGATGTTTTTGCATTTATTAAGGTTCACATACTTCAACTTAGAACATTTAAATATATAAGAAACGCCTTTAGTGGTTAGAGCATTACAGCCACACAAATACAAATATTCTAAATAAATCAAATTTCCAATAAACTGTAAACAATCATCTGTCAGTGAATTATTCTTACCAAGATTTAAGTCTTTCAGATTCAAACACTTGGTGAAAATAGCATTAGTCAATCTTTTGTCAATTGTACCAAAGTTGCTTAACTTTAGACTGTGAAGATTATGGACTACTCCAGATTCAAAATAATCAATTGCACCATAGATATTATTGCATTGAAAATCTATGACAGAAAGATCTTTCAGGTGCTTCATATTTTTAAAACAAGAAAATTCTGCTGAAGAAGATATACCTCTATGCCCAAATACATGTAAAATCTCAAGCACAGTGCAATATTTAGCAAGCACCGGAAGTAAACAGCTTTGTGCTGGAGGACAACAGTTCACACACAAATAATGCAGTTTATTTTTATTCTGTTTCAAGAAACATTTCAAATCGTTATGTTTGTAATGCAAATTGCTGATATCAAGCCTTCTAAGAGATGGAAATCCATTTAATATATCAGAGAAAAGGCTATCATTATTGTCAACTGTTTGTCCACTTAGTTTCAAATGCCTCAATTTTGGGCACAGACTGACCATCAGCAAATACTTAGTTGACACAAAATCCTCAGTTTCAATAGAAAGATCTTCTATACTTCGACAAAAAAACACAACTATCAAAACCAATATATTGTCAGCTTTATTAACTCGTATCTTTAATGATCTTATATCTTTGCAATATGTTACTACAGCTTTTAAGAGTTGTCCATTTATGTATTCACCCTCAGGAATAAACATTTGAAGCTTTGGAGCACCCTTTAATACTTCTATGATTTGATCTAGTGAAGTTTTATTGCTTGGTGTGTATGTCAAATTTCTCCAGAGTTTGTTCTCTTTTGCAACTTCTTCCCATCTGCTACATACTTTCCTCACTCTTGTTGCAAGGTCTTCCACAGTAAGATATGAGAAAATTTCTACTAGTATCTCATCAGGAAGATCATTAATAGTCTTTATTCGAGCCATTTTCTGCAAAGGAACAAAGATATTATGAATAATTACTTAGGAATGTAATGATTGATTGACTAGTATTGAGCATTGATTGACATGAATGACTAGTATGAATTTTCATTGTATGGACCTGCCACACCCTATCCGTAACTATGCAAGTACATATCATCCATATATGAAAATACAGCATGCAATTTTGTGGCTATACAATCATATGTATTGTAGAAGAAAAAAAATAATTTATAGATCATCGCAATATACTTTATCACAATAATTAATATAAAATTCTTTACAATACTATAATACATAAATCAATTACCCCGATTTGTACTACTTCCCAACATTATTTTTCTGTAGGGAGTCTGTACCATCTGGATGTCTTTAAGACCAAAGTGCATATAATTATACACAGTCAAGAAATATAGTCAGTAATAAATATCAAAATACAGGCACAGTTGGCATGGTAAATTAAAAGATCAAAATATTTAATATGGTAAGGGGCTTTATATAACACTGCTTCACATTCTAGCTTACTTTCACTCCAAGAGAGCACACATTAAAGGCACCTACAAATTGATCCTTATTAGTTAGAACTTGTAAAATCTATCTATCTATTTAGCGTTTTTTTACAGCCTTGGCCATTTTCCGCATCCCAATTTCCATGCCCATTTATCCCATAGATCGTTTTCCTCCATTTCTCTTTTTTCCATTGCTTCAGTTATTGCCATGTTCCATGTTCTTCTCGGTCTTCCCCTGTATCTTCTTCAATTTGGTATCCACTCCCAAACTTTTTGAGGAAGTCTATCCAATTCCAACCTTCTCATATGTCCATACCATTTTGGTTGTTTCATTTCGATCGTCACGTTAAAGGTTGTTTGCACTTTCATTTTATTTCTTATTTTATCTAACAGAGAAAGTTTACAACATCTTTGCCAGAACGTCATCTCTGTTGATTGAAATTTGTCTTTCAATTTTTTTGAGTGTCCAGACTTCTGCCCCATATAGTGTTATACTCTCTATAAAGGAGCTATATATGCATTTCTTTGACTTAATTGAAATAATTGAGTTCCATAGCACTGGGTTCAACTGTCTTGTGGCTATTTTTCCTCTTATATTTTTATATTCACATCCTGGTTCGTCTCCTACCATCTGCTGTTAGTGTTACCTCCCAAATACTTATATTGTATTTTATCTTTTAATTATTCCTATACTAGTCTCTAAATCATGGCGGCATACCTCCCACCACCATATATCAGTTTTTGTAAATTTATTTCCATCCTCATGTTCCATACTCTTCTACTAATTTTTCTGAACATATAAGTTACATCAATCTTCATCTTCAGCCATTATCACCTGCGTCGTGCTGCAAATAGTAGGACTAAACAATGTTTCATCACCTTTTTTCACACCCATGCTTCTGCACTCCTTTTCCATCTTTTAGGGCCTTTAGCAATGTATATTTCTTTAACAGGGTTGAAGATAATACAGCAGCCTTGCCGTAATCCATTTATTACTGGAAGTTGTCTGATAGACATTTTCCCACTTTTACTTGACTTTTGTTATCTTTATTAAAGTTGTTGACGCATTTTATGTATGTGTTATATTCCCTGTTTCTTCCATTGCCCCCCATACTTCTTTTACTGGTTACATTATTCATAACCTTTTTGAGATCAATTGAAATTATGTGAAGTTCTCTTCCTCGCTTAATTGTTTGTTCCATCAGTTGTTTGAGTCAGAAAATATTGTCAATGCACGATCTTCATTGTTTAAAACCACTTTGCTCTTCTGAGTCTGATGTTTGGATTTCCATTCTATTCTTTAGCACATGTCCATACAGTCTAACCAAAGATGAAGTCACACTTATCCCTCTATAATAATTACAATATTTTTTACAACCTTTTTTGTAAATTGAATTTATATAGGCTAATTTCCATATTTCAGATATTTTACCTCCATTTAATGTTTCAGTAATTAATTCCAAACCTACAATAGGACTGGATAATGTTTAACCAGCTCTATGGATATACCTCCAGGCCCAGGTGTTTTATTATTTTTCATGTTTCTTAACACTTTTTTCATAATTTATTCCCTGAAATTTAGGTCTATTTTCTGTCAAAAGATTTTCATAGTATTTTTGCCATTTTTCAATACCAATTGGGTCTACTAAATGGCATTCTTGGGTTGTATTCAATTTCATGGAATGTAACATTTTCCATTTTCATTTGTCTTTCTGGATTTGGTGTTACCAATGCACTTGTCTAATCTGTCACATTTTTGTTCCCAGAATACATTTTTTGCCTTCTTCCCTTCTTTCTTGACCAAATATTTCATTCTGTTGTATTCACTTCTGTCTTCTAAATCCTTTGTGGAAAGCCATCTCAAATATAACTTTTTCTTTTCTTCAACCAGGTTCTTTATACCTTCTGTCCATCACAAGTCATTTTGTTTATATTCTCATTTTCCCTTCTTTCCCAAAGCTTCTTTACCGGCTTCATGAGTGCATTTTTCTAAAAATTGATATTTTTCTTCAGTATTTCCTATTGGGATGTACTTTAATTTTTCTACCATGCGCAATTGGTACAAAAATGTAATGGAATCATCTTGAAGGCTCTCAGTATTGTATTTCAGCCACATTTGACTTTTACACCTTTTGTACTTGGTTTTGTGTTTCCGTAACTTTTAAAGTACGGTTTATACATAAGGTAAGCTTTTCCTTTTAGTAAGTAGTGATCTGATCCACAGGAAACACCTATTTGAACCCAAACATCTCTCCACTATTGATGACTGTTGTTTAGTAATTATGTAGTCAATTATTGATTGCAATTTTCTAGTGGGTTGGGTCCACGTGAATTTATGTATTTCTTTATGTGGAAAATAGCCATTCAATATTTTAAGGTCAAGTGACAATGAAATACAAAATATTTAAAATAATTATTTTGTATTTCATTGTCAAGCCATATTGTATTGAAATCATTACGGCCACAAAGAATAATCCCAATCCCAGTTCAAGGAAAGAGTATGGCCCCTATTAGAAATTCTCATGCTACTTACTTATGTATTTCATATAATATCAATTATATTTATATAATAAAATAAAATTAGTTTATGGAATTGGTCATTGTGTTTAGAGAAACAATTAGTTGCACCAACATTTCGAAATATTTAATTGCTTCATCAGGGCTAGAGTATAAACAATGAACAATAATGAGGACAACAAACATTACAATAAATTGTTGTCCTCATGCACTCTTCATTGTTTATACACTACCTCTGAGGAAGAAATTAAATATTTTGAAACGTTGGCGTAACTAATTGTTTCTCTAACCTCATTGACCAATCCTGTGAACCAATTTCATTGTATTATTCATCAATGGTCATGATTATACAATGGTATATTGATATGTTTCGGTAAGACTTAGTATATCTTACAGTGCGCAATTATTCACAGAGACTCTTCAATTGTATTCGTAAATTCACAGCAACTCAAAATGTAACATACATATATATTGTGATTTATTTTTAATTACTTTATACCATTACTTTTAATTTTGTATTTATATTAACTTGCATAATTTGAATAGATAATGTACGCTATAATAAAAATGAAATGAATTAACAATATGTTCAAATTATAATAAAAATTGTAGGACATGATGGGCTTTGTAGGGCACTTTGAGATTTATGGTCTCTGGAACAAAGTACCAGCTACACTTCCTCCCCTTGGGCCTGGAAATAATCACTTCAACTATGCAGCTTGGTCTTAATATATTTCCGGCAAGAACATTTCAAGATCAGAAGTCTCAAAGGTCAAAAACATAAAAAAGTACCTGTTATGAATTCACAGAATAAATTTTTATGAAATATTTTCAGAGATTCTTATATAAGTAACAATGTCAATTTATCTAAGCTAATACATCAAAGAGGGTACAATAATATATAATTTCTACTAGTACAAGAATATACGACAATATTTAAATATTTTTGTATATATATTTGCAAATGTTTCACTACATATATTATATTTGAATTTCTATTTATTGTCATTATTATTTAAGAAATAGATTACAATCCTTATCATCTTTAACCACATCAAATATTGTCCGTGTGTCTGACTACCTCCCTACTGAAAAGAAACTGTTCTGAAGAAATTATATAAATCAAAATATTGAAGGAAAAAAGTGAAAAGGGGATTACATTACAATTTATTTCTTTGCACAGATGGGTATTTGTTTTCTATGTGGGTATGGGTATTGTTCAAAATATTAAAACTTATTTAAGAGGTTTACATTTTTAGTGCTATATTTTCTGTTCACTTAAAGGTAGATTTTAGGTTTTTGGCTTCTTTAATAAATCATTAAGATTAAATTATTGCCAGAATTTTCTCTGGACCACCTGTTTCTTATGGTCTACTGCAATCTGTGATCCATCAATGGCAACCACTGATTGAGTGGCAGCCACTATGCACATAGTAGAAAGAAATTTGGCAGAAACAGTTCAAAACAATTTAGCTTCTCTTGTCAACTTGTATTAGTATCACTTCTAATACCTTATCTCCTCCTAAAATGTGACAGATATATGAAATTTAAAAAAAATTATGTCCTTGGTAAAAGACTTGAACAATTTTTCAAAGTATTTTTCTTTCAAGATATGCAAGTATTATAATGACAAATAATTGAAGAAAATTTTGTCAGTATAGCTTGGGTGAACATTTTTTTACATAAGAAAAATAATATCTTAATCTCTCCTAACAATTTGAAAGGGCACTTATCTTAATAAATTTCTTAAGATGTTATTCAACACTTAATTTATAATATTAATTATAAATATAATACATAACTTAAAAAGACACCTGATACATGTCTGAATAAAGCACAGATCTCAAGTTCTAGACTAATGCATTCAAAAATAAAATTAATGAGGCAATTTTATATTTAGCTAAATGCAAGTTTATAATTGCCTTACGTCATTTACTATCTTTTATTATATTCAATAATACAATTATTTTGAAAATACCCGGTGGATAATAATTTTAATACACTGTAAATAAATATACGACACATTGTACGAGTAATAGTCTCTCGAAAATTATATCATAAATTTCTTTAACCTGCAATAAAAAATGAGCAGATAGAGTAAAAAATGACTTTATTTTACGTAACTATTCCACAACAATACAACTCGTAAGACAAAATGATAGTTGGAGGAGAAACAAAATAAGCCGCGGTATTCAAAATTACCTGATCTTTCTGTAACCACTCACACCGCAACATCAGAGACTCGTACAACAATGAAATAAAGTACTGAAAAGGAAACTGCCAAATATCTAATCGCCTCCTCGTCTCACGCCACACCATCTCGGCCAGGACGTTCAGGGCGAAAGTCGGCTGGATGAAGAACGAACTGAGTGACTCTAGCTCGGCTTCGGCCGGCCAGAATACGAGGTGGAGAGGGCAATCCAGAACACAGCCAAGCGGCTAGAATCGTAACCAAATGCAGACATGAAGACTCGGCACCAGAGTGTATGTGTAAGGAATGACGAATTCCATTTCGGGCACACCCTCGGTCAGCCAGCCCAGAACACAGTGCAGAGCCCTGGTTGTCAAATGGTATGAATTTCCGGAAGCTTTTTCTCATCAGGTCTATTTTTGGGGGTGATGAATTCGAAATGAATGTCTCTTACCTCGAGAAAGGGCTTCTCTGATGGAAGAAAACAACCCATAAACCGTTACCCTTTTTTGTTTTTCGCTCCGTATATCGAAAATTATACGTTTTATCAAAATGTGTACAAAATTAAAGCAAATTTTAGTTCCTGTAAAGTGCATATATTAACTATATTAAAATGTTACATTTTTAATGTTACGTTTTTTCTTTGTTTTCTACGGATACAGCAAAGGCCACTTAAAAATAGCGAAGGTCTCATTTTCGTTGAACACTGAATATTTGAAAATTGCAAAAATTAGAAATAATGCGTATTAGTAAAAGCTAGCATGTAATATCGCAGTACGCCCATTTCATTCAGTACCTACTAACACATCTCTGATACCACTTGTAAAACTCCTTAACATCTCAGTGTATGAGGCGCAAACCTATAATTTCATCGACAGCTAGAGACAGTTGCCAATTCTTACCTACCTGCAAAACCAACAAATAAGATTATATCACAATTTTAACGATGTTCCTTGGACATTGCACAAACAAGTAAGAATAACTTAGACAAGCTTGCCTCGATTACTTTAAAAAGAGCTCACAACTATAAAAATATTACGAACCTGCAGAAGGATACATGAACTTGTGCTCCCATAAGTGAACTAACCAATAGTTTTTATTATGTAAATATTGTTTCTAAAAGGCTCTAAAAATGGTTGTACACAAGTCATTCTTTTAAAACTAAATCGTCAACACACTTTCAATTAGCAATGCTAGAGAATGGCACAAACTATCTCGTACTAGTTAGTCCAGGCAAATATCGGAACAGAATCATAACAAACGAACCACGGACCGCGCCCGATATTTCTTTCCTCTTGCTTGTCATATCCTCGCCCCTTACTTACACTTACATTCACATACACTACCACACGTATCGGGAGCGTAGAGCTTGCTACGGCCCGGGCGGTGTCCTGCTGGCGAGAGATTCCTGGACGAGGAAAATTCTCTCAAGTCGAAGAGTAGGTCAGACCCCGATATCGCCATCCAGCGGGGGGAGATCACCCCCACCTTCGGTGATAAAACATGCACTGCACCCACATGACTAATGACCTTGACAGTAGAGGCGTCCGGAAACACTAATCAATCAATCGTACTAGTTAGTTTCATATTCTCTTGAATCAGGTCGAGCTCTATGTTTGATGATTGATTGGCTACTAGCGATTCCGAGCGCGATAAGGGCTAAGTCATTAGTCCCGTAAGTGTAGTACAAGTTTTTCTTCGGGAGGCGGTGGTGATCTTCCTACGCTGGATGGCGAGATCCGGTGCTGATGTACCGTCGGCTAGCGGAGTTTTCCCCCAACCAGGTATCTTCCACCAGCGAAGCACCGCCCAGCCGGGACAAGCTATAAGCTCCTGACCGGTCTCCCGGGATGTGTGGTAGTGTAGGGCATGAAAGTAACGGGTGACGATAAGGCAAGACATGGAAAGGAAAGATCGCGCGCGGTCCGTGACCCGTATGTTAGGGGAACTGCTCTGGTAGAAGCCTGGTATTGATCGGAGAAACTACGGAAAACTACTGATCAGAGCAGCCGGTCGCTAGAATTCTCTTCCAGATAGCGATCGAACTCCTCTAGCTAACTGGCTGGTGTCAAAAATCCTGCCTCCGTCAGGACTCGAACACCAGGGCCTCCTGGGCAGAGGCACTCCAGTGACAGTTGATTGATTACCAGATCCCTCTTGACCCTCTCCCGGTCCCAGCTCCTTGGTTTTGCGCCCAATACCTACGCAACTGCTATCTAAGGGTGCTTAAATGATCTTCCAGTGACACTCGCGGTTACTACTGCTCTACTGGAGGCAGTCTTAGTAAATACAATTTTCACCCTTTACCAACGTTGCAAAGGCCTATCTCGGTCTTGTACTATTACATAATAGCGCGCGGTACCCATTGGCACCACCATTGTACTTGTACTGTTGTTTTGAGTGTAGTGCTCAATTATCAGGGACCATTGTCTCAATAACATACTCTTAGATGATCACAATGTATATATTACGAAGACGATTATGGAAGGTGTAGTGTTCGAAACTAATACGAAAATATTTGGAAAGATACCTGCGCATTTTTAAAACATTCATGCTTTGGTGGGTTTTGAAGGCACCGCTTTTGTGTCCACGTGCGATATTTTGGCTCACGTGTTCCTGTCTCACTAGGACAAACCACTTGATCGTACTATTTGTATACATGCTATGATTATATAGAATAATAAAATTATAAAATAAACGATATAACTAGAACTGACTTTTTTACGCATTTGTGGTCTTCTATATGCTTTAAGGTATTGAATCAATGAATCTGAAAGACATTGACACAATTCGTTTCCACCGCAACAATGCAAACTAAGTAACTTTAGCATAAAAAATCATCACACACTCAGTAACTAACAATTTTCTGAAAATTAACTAACTGCAAAAAATAGAACAAAATATTGACAGTACTACGAGTATATATTTTCGATTCAGTTAGACTCAGGTATTATTTACTTTATTTACTTGTCTCTCACGAAGTTAATACATTAGCGGCGATTTGCATACATTATTTCATTTATGAGTTCATGCACTTCAAATTATGATTTATAAAGTTTCTCGAAAACTCAAAAATGTTCTGTGAAAATGTGCTCGCAATGCCACATTTTCAGAAGTTCTGAAACGCCATTTTCTCAAAAAGAGCTCCAATTAAAAAAAAAAAAATTTTGAAACGATAGTGCTAAATGGTCTGCATAACGTTACATAAATGCCACCGTCATGCATTTTTTCTTTTTAAAAAATTACGGTAATCTAATTTTCTTGAAATATCTTTCGCGCCGTTTTATATCACCGGCATTTTTTATTCCTTACTGCGTTTAAAAGGATAATTGCTTCAAATGAAGTTTCTAAAAAACGAAATAAATTGAATGAAAATGAGCATCAAAATGCGCCTTTTCAGAAATGCTCAAGCAACATCTTCTCAAAAAACAGCTCCAAATTTTCAACGAAAATTTCCATATAGGACAAGATGTTACACTTCAATAATATTCTTATAATGCTGTTTCAGTTCTACCATTAGGGAAAATTTCAGAAACTGTGAAAAAATATTGTTTGGATGGCGATAGATGGCAGCTGGCAAGAGAATGGCGCATAACTGAAAAGCTAGCCCAGACAACAAATGAGGAAATTAATTAGTCCGTGCCAAGTCTGTACGAGAATGTAGCAGTAGTTCACCTTTGAAATGTTAACTTTGTGTAATTTTCGAAAAAAATGGAGAGTTCCCCGAAAAAGGGACTACCACCGTAATTTTTTATCGTCCCTTGAAACCTACGAGGTGAAAATTTAAAGAAAAATTTGGAGGAGTTTCTGAGGGAAAAAAAAGCTGTTTCGCGCAAAATTACACAAAAACTACACACATTTTCGAAAAATTGAACGTGACCTTATTTCAAGATCGGAATGTAAAGAACAGATTTCATTAAGGGAAAAATTTCCCTTTTCAATATTCTAGAAACACTCCTCAAAAAATATAAAATATAGCAATTTTCGAAAAATCAGGGTTTAATAAAAAAAATGGAGGCTTCTTTGAGAAAATTATGAAAATGTTTTTAAGGTTTCATGAAAATATCTGTTTGAAACTCTCAAATCCTGGATTTAGTTCAGATCAATTGGTGAATATCAATTTTGGAGAAAATCGACTGAACGGTTTAGACGCTGGTGTTGACCACAGATGA